CAGGTTTCACTGTATATTATCACAATTTTATGCAAAAATATAAATATGGGCAGCACAAATGGTTACCAGAGGAAAAAAAATCATAAAAAGGATTACAAGCTAATACAGATCAGAATTCTCAGGCCTTTAAGATTAAAGTAGGGGGGCAAAATGCTGTCTGAACCCCAGAAACACAGGTTGTTTCCAGAACCTTTCCTGAGGACAGTGAGCTGGGACAAGTGGATTTACTGGTTGAGGGAAAAAGGTAGGAAGGAAAGATGTAGCGCGAGGTATGAAAACACACACGGATTAAGAAAATGGTTTGTTTTAATGTTTGGTCCTAAGTCACATCAACATAGCTCTTTTCAAAACAGGAATCCTGACTCCATCTCATGAGTGTGTGCGCCACATACCAGGTCCGGAGCCAAACAGCAGCCCAGGTGTGCTTAGAATCCAGTGGCTAGCATGCAGGGACCGTCCCTCCCTTATAAAGTGCCTGAGCAGAGCTGCCATGCCTTGGAGTACTGGCCCTGTCTGTCTCCAAAGGGCTGGAGACAGGAGCTTCAGAGGAAAGCCAGCGCAGGAGGCCAGGAGCAGGCCCCAGCCCATGAGCACAGAAGCATTAGGGCTGAGCACAGCAGCATTAAGGCTGAGGGCCAGAGCTTGCCCCAGCGACCCCACCCCAGGTCGCAGGGACAGCAGAGGCCCCAGTGACCCGACCCAAGGTCGCAGAGACAGCAGAGGTCCCAGCCACCCCACCCCAGGTCACGGGGACAGCAGAGGCCCCAGCGACCCCACTCCAGGTTGCAGGGACAACAGAGGTAACTTGGCCAAGTACCAGACCCGTGGCCTTCTCTGCAGAATGGGCAAACAGATCCTACACCCCAAATGCAGGAGCTGCTGGGAAGCCCTGAAGTCCCTGTGCAGTGGGGTCAGAATCCAGATCGCTCTCTGGGGTGATCCGGGCAGCTTTTCCTCCTTTTTCATGGTGCCCTGGGGAGGGCGGCAGGGAGCCCGGGTGTGTGGACGGCATCACTGGTCTGTCTCACTGATGAGGTCCTGCAGAGAAGGGAAGCAGACGAGTGTACACCCACACGTGCTGTCCCCAGGCAAGGTGGGACCACCTGGGGCAGGCCAGAGGACTGCGATGTCCTTAGAGACGTCCAGAAGTCATCACAGCTGAGAGCACTCAGGTAGGCCCTGCTGCAGGGATCTCAGAGCACGGTACCTGATAGGGAGCGAATGTTATATTGGAGTCCTAACCCCTGGTACCTGTGAAGGTAACCATGTTTGGAAATCGGGTTTTTGAAGATACCATCAGTAAAGTTAACATGAGGTCATACTGGAGTATGG